CTAACAGGAAACTGCAACAAATAAGAAGTGAAATGGAGAAAAACTAATTGTTGGGGATCCTTAAAGAAGTTATAATGGAAGAGTGGCCTGAAGAAATAACTAGTTGCTGTCCAAGTATAAGAGACTATTGGAACTGCAGATATGAAATACCCCGGGGTAATTCTGCTCCAAAAAATGAGAAATTCTGCAAAATTCTGCCTATTTTATTTGTCAAAATAACACAATGTAATCACACCAGTTTCAATTATTTTTGGTAATTTATTTCAAAATACCTGTCAGCAAGTATGTCTGTAACAACACAGACAAAAAAAAAAGATTCAGGAAATGTTTTGGGTTTTTTATTTGACAAATAGATTCCTTACTAGGCATATTAATACAGAACTCTGAGTAATAATTCATTTAATCTACAATACAGAACCATATTCCCCACTCCCCTTAGAAGCAGTGCAAAGGCTTGGGAGAGTCGGGGTAACAGAGGAGCTGAGGGAGAGGGAAGTAATTGCTGGGAAGGAGTCTTGGTGTGAACTTGGAGGGTTGTTGGGTGTGGGTGGGAGAAGTACAGAACAGGTTTTGGGGTGGTGGGGAGGGATTGTTAGGGAGCCTTCCCCGTGCAGACCCTGGCTGATCCCCAGCCTCTCCCATTCAGTCAGATACATCTGCCCCGTCCCCATGTATCCCTGCAGCCCCCTCCATTCCTATGTGTCCTTGCACCCCGACTCAGCCACCACTTATCTCCCATCCCTATGTGCCCCTGCAGTCCTCCCCTGTCCTCGTGTCCCTCCACCCCCCAGACTGTCTCCCTGTGCTCCCACCCAGCCGCCCCATTTCTTCATGTATTTCTGAACCCCTCCCCATGTCCCCATGGGTCTGTGAACCCCCACTCAGACACCCCATGTGTCCCTGCACCCCTGTCCCCATGTGTCCTTGCACCCCCACTCAGCCACTTCTCCTCCCCATCCTTATGTGTCCCTGCACCCCTCCTTCTGTCCCCATGTATCCCTCCACCCCCACTCAGACACCTCCACTCAGAGACCCCCATGTGTCCGTGCACCCCATCCCCATTTGTCACTGTGCCCCCACTCAACCACCCCCTTCCCTATGTATCCCTGCATCCCTGTTCAATGAGCCACATCCCCACATCCCCATGTGTCCCTGCACCCCTTCCCCTTGTCTCCATGTGTCTCTCATACCCCATTCAGCTGGACCCCCTAGCCACATGTGTCCCTGCACCCCCTGTCCCCAGTGTGTCCCCATGTGGCCCTGTTCTTCCACTACCATTCAGCCCTGCCCCAGTCTGTCCTCCCCCAGTAGCCCTTATGAACCCATCTGTAACTCTCCAGCAGCCCATGTGCCCCATGCTGTCTGTCCCTGGCCCACAACTGTGAGGAAGACAGCCCCTTCTCTTCCCTATTGGCAGCTGGGTTTGGCCCAGGAATGGCTGCTCTGTTCTGGCAACACAGCAGCCCCTGGTGGGCAAAAGGCGTAACTGCAACAACTTTGCAGCAGAATTTATTTTGGAGGGAAAAAATTCTGCTCGACACATAAATTATGCATGTGCTCAGTGGTGCAGAATTTCCCCATGAATAATGAACCTATTGTGATAGATGGGGTAATTTTCAAGGGCAACAAGGTTGTAATACCAATGAGCCTCCAGAAACAAATGCTATAGAAGATCCAGGAGGATCACTTAGGAATTGAGAAGTGCAAACAATGATCATGAGAGGTGATGTTTTGGCCGTGGATCAATCACTACATTATGACTGGAGTAGGAAATCACTTTTCATACTTGAAATAAAAGCCATGCCAACAGACAGAGCTGCTGAGACCTCACCCAGTTCCACAAAGGCCTTTTGAGAAGGTCGGCACTGACTTACTTACCTGGCAATGAAAGGATTATTTAATATTCACATTTTATTATTCTCTGTATCTAGAAATTTGCACACTGCACAGTAGTAATAGTAAGTCAGTGACAGCCGGCATGAAAGGAATCTTCTCCAGACGTGGAATTCCAGATGAAGTCTTTAGCAATAAGAGGCTGCAATTTTCCAGTGCAGATTTTGAGTAATTTGCCATAGATTGGGATTTTCATCACAAAACATCAAATCCAAATGATCCCCAATAGAACAGACTTGTGGAAAGGTCTGTGTGGACAGTAAAAAACCTTATGAAAAAAGACTTTTGGTGGTGAGGGTGATATGCATACAGCTATATTGATTTACTGAATTACAGCTCTGGAGAATGGCTCTTCTCCAGGTCAGCTGTTAATGGGAAGAAGGATCAGATCTCATTTACCAATCACTGATAACTTGTTGAAATCTCATGACAATGAAACCATATGGAAGATGAAAGAAAATCAGAAGTGGAAGCAGAAATATTATTTTGAGAAAAGGGCCTGTGATCTCCCAAAATAACAGAATGTTGGGAATCGTTAAGAAGGGGATAGACAAGACAGAAAATATCATGTTGCCTCTATATAAATCCATGGTACGCCCACATCTTTTATACTGCATGCAGATATGGCCTATCTCAAGAAAGATCTATTTTAGTGCCTAAGCCTTAACCCTGTCCTGGCACTGGCCTGTAGTGTCTAGGCTTTCACCCTCCCCTGGACAAGGGCCTATAGCACCTAGGCCTTAACCCTGCCCCGGGCATGGTCCTATAAGGCCTAGGTCTTAACTCTTCCCTCAGGAATATCATGTCATTCCCAAATGACCTTGGATGGGCTCAGAAGGGAGGTCTTGTTGGGTGCATGGTCCTGATTGTTATGCTCCCCACATCTACAGAGGTGTGACATAAAATCATAAATCTTCTGGCTGGAAGCTTTGCAGCGTAACACGGTTTTAATGCTCAGAATCCAGAACGAGGACCCAAAAGAGAAAGAGACAAAGCAGGCTGCTCCTTAAGGCCCAGAGGCCCAGGTCATCCTGCCTTGCTCTATCCTGCTCTGTGTAGAGCTGCCTGCTGGACCCAGATCACACACTTCACTACAGAGCCCCCTGCCTGCCAGCAGGACCAGGAAAACCCCCATTTACAGTGACAGCTTACAAGTCCAATACAGTTTTCAATGCACCATGCACATGATGGACAGGCTTGGAGGGAGATGGATGTGAAACAGAAATAGCTGCACAGATGCTAAGGCCAGAAGAGTCCATTGAGTCTATCCAGTCTGACCCTGTGTACACAGGCCAGAGCATTGTGGGGAGAATGTCTGAGGCTCTGAGCAGAGCTGAGATGGCCCCTGATGACCCTCAGTGTATCTTGTTGTAATGTCTACTGATGTGATGGTCTTCTGTTGATGTCAGAGGAGGGGGAGCAGGTACCTGACAGCGCCCCCTGGTGTCTGTCACAGCTACTGCCAGCCCTGTCCCTGTCACTTGGCAGCATCACTTACACAGGTGGATGACTTCTTGTCAGTCTGACCTGTAGAAAGGTGCCCAGATATCACCCAGGGCCAGGGTATGAGATGGGTCCCCTTTGGGCCTGATCCACACAGCACGTGACTGAGAATATATTATTGCCCTTATATAAATCGATTGTACGCCCACTTCTCGAATACTGTGTACAGATGTGGTCTCCTCATCTAAAAAAAGATATATTGGCACTAGAAAAGGTTCAGAAAAGGGCAACTAAAATGATTAGGGGTTTGGAATGGGTCCCATATGAGGAGAGATTAAAGACTCTTCAGCTTGGAAAAGAGGAGACTAAGCGGGGATAT